TAGGGGGGTTTTAAAGAGATTCATTTTTAAGCAAGTCAACCCACACACACAAAAAAAAGAATTGGAACTCTATTTCTTCATTTTTGGAATCAGTAAGGGCTGAACTGTACTGGTTGGTACTGTATGGTACTGGTCTGTCATGAGGGTTTGCAGCAGTCCAGCAAGTGTTCTGAGAGGCACTGTACCTCAGATAAGCACAAATATTAATGCATGGTGGGAGCACTGCCTTCTGTAATTACTAATGATGTGTTCCCTTTAACAGATAACTGCATCTTATTATTGAGAGAAGATGACAGCCACATCTAACTGTACCTCTTCTAGGGTTGCTACCTTCAGTAACACTGCAGAAGCTTTTTACGGTTTATTTTTACTGTCTATATGGTACATGTCAGAGACTTACAGCATTCTGCTTTCCTGAAGCCAATTCTGAAGAGCTTAGCTGATTCGTTAGTGCATATATGTATTTTAGCTCTGGTAGTAGAATAATTAGAAGTGTGGAAACAGACATGCAGAAGAGCCAAAATACTTATTTTCCATTTGTGCTCAATGTCATGTAAAATGTTAACACATGGGGAAAAAGAGTGAATTGAAAGCTTTTACATTTCTTCTTTCTGAGAAGGTATCAATGTAAGTAAGTTCTGGTCCCATCTACTAGATGAAATGTTTTATTTGATGCTGTGAAAACACATATTGATTTATTAGATGTTCAGTGATAATAAAGAAATGCTTGTCTGAATGTTTTAGGCACTTATACCACCAGCTGTTAAAGAGGAAAAGAAATGATTGTATTTCTCTTGAAAGCGATCAGAACTAAATCATCTTACAACTCAGACACTCTAATTTCTTTTCTGCCATGGGGAAAAATAAACTTTGTGAAAATCTGCTGTGGGACAGCTGAAAATGAATGAAATCTTTCCTTTTTACTTATTTTGAAGAGATTTGGGAATGGTCATTAAATTTCCCAATTTCTCATGTTCTATCTCTTCACACACAGGTCTATGTTATGGTGTACTTCTAAACTAGAAATAAAGGACTGAGGTGCAAGACAACTTGCCTGAAATAAGATGGGCTTTAAGGACTTTGATACAGGGGGAGGGGTGGAAGGGGCTAAGTATATGATAGTACTGTGAAATACTTTGGATGATGTAAGATTTTATTTATCTACTTTGACAGAAATATTTTCCTTGTCAATAATTAAACACATGAGTTTTAACATAGGAAACATAGAATTTGTTTTGGTATGCTTTTATTAGTTTATGACGTTCCTACCAAACAGCTGAAAAATGAAGTCATGCTCTCTGCAGATAGCAACTTTGACAAAGGTACTTTTTTACTTTTTTTTTCCTTCTCCTCTCCCTTTCCCTCCCCCCCCCTCCCTCCCACTCCCCCCCGCTCCTCCCCTCCATGGAGGTGTTGAAGTTCAGGCTTCATGAATTCTGGGCAGTGGATGGCAGCCCTGCCAATGGCAGGGGGTTGGAACTAGATGACCTTTTAACATCCCTTGGAACTAAAGTCATTCTATGATTTTTAAGTAATTTAAAAACGTATTCTGGTGCAGTGCAGAAAATTGGTTGTGGAATATCCTGCCCTGTCTCCAGTACTGTGGAATAACTCACTGCATGAAGTATTCAGTGCTCTTGGAAGAGAAGCTAGAGTTGGTGCTTTGCCCTTCCACATGTTTCTTTTCAAATGCTGGCAGTTGCTTCAAGCCCATAGCCTGCATTATGTGGAGTTTGTCCTGTTTGTGAATTACAATGATCCAGGTTGAAACAGAGCCTCGCACTGGTTTGTGATAGAAGTTATTTTCTCTCTTAGCTATTAAATGTCTAAAACCTGACTTTGGATGATGAAGGGATGTTTGGTTACATGAGAAATGATATCCTCAAAGGAACTGTTCTCTTTGAGTGTAAAATATTGTTCTAATAATAGATACAAGCTCTGCTCAGAAAACGTATTTTAGAACATGTTAACTAGCCTTTGATGCCATAAACAGATAGCTTTGTTATGGATCCAGGTATTTAATACAATATAAAGTGTGATTAAATGTACAGATAATTTAAAAAATTATATCAGATTTGTAAGCAAAGCTGGTCAAAGATTTTCAGTAAAATGTATTTTTATCTTATAATTTCATGGAATGTGTGATAGACTTTCATAAGACAAATATGAACTTATTAAATAGATATAGATAATGTGATTTGAGTCTCAAGAACAGGATGCATGTTCTGTGGTCTGTCTGGTTCAAGTTGATATATATCATATCTAGGCTAAGTTGAACTAAGTGCATATGTAATTTAGCATCTTGCAGCTCTATATTCTGTGTAGAAAATAGCTAATAAAATAATTTCTTTGAATTTTGTTGCTTTCTGGAGCTTTCTATTGCTGGAAGGAAAAGATAGTGTTTATATTGCAGTATATCTTATTTAGAAATATATTCCAGAGCTGAGGCCTGTCCACTTAACTCATCTGCAATAATATAGTAGCCTTCTCCACAGTTTGAATTAATGTGTCTTTGCTCCAGAACCTCCAATAAATCAACAGAGAAATAGTACTGTTGACTGAGGTGAGCTGAATTACCTCAAGCAAGGATCTTTTACAGAGTGAGTGAAGTTATGTTTTAAAGGCAATATGCTGAGCTATCATGACAGAAATTATGGTAGTAACAGCAGATATTTAGAAATACAATGGAGACAGGTTACTCCAGTTGTAATTGTTGCAAATTGACTGTCTTCTTACATGTTTTTGTGAAACTTTCTCCGGAGGAGCAATGTTTAGTTGCAGTGAGCTCAAATATGATTAAGATCATGGAAAGCAGCACAACTTCCTAGCAAGGCTAGACTACATTATGGGGGGGACCTGAATAGACACTGGCAGTCATAGTTGTAGATCACATTTGAAAGTCAAGGAAGTATGCTTCCTGTAAAGTAGACTAGGTTAAACTTCCTGAGGAGTAAGGTGAGAGGTTACTGAAGTAAACGAGTAGAACAAGCAAACAAACCTGTCAACATCTGTTTAACAACATAAAAGGTACTGTTTGCATGGCTGCCTGCTTTCTGAAGAAATACACACTGTCCTCAAGCAAACAGTGCGGTCAGAAGATCAAAGAGTTCATAGATGTAACCCTAGCACACGAAGTGCTGGATTGCAATTAACAAGGTATTCTTTCTCTGCATTTACATGTGGAGATTAAACTGAGATGTCATCACCATCTGTCACTGCCATACTGTGATTGCATGGCACCAGTGCAGATATGTCAGAGGGGAAAATAGGGGCAGGAAAAGGACAGATGCAGAGTCAATATAGGTGAAGTGCAAGTTCAGTAAATCCAATGCATGACTACACTTTCAAGATGGGCTTTAACTGACCTTAGGGGCTATGCTTACTGTACACTTACCACTTCATTTCTAACTTCATAACAGTTGCTTGACTACTTTAACATAAGAGTGACTGTGAGACATTCATTGTTAGCAATCACTGATTTCCATATATGGGGAAATACATAACACTGTAAGACTTCTCACAGGTATGGTTTTGTTATAATCTATTTATTTTGATAAATTGCTAAAACTGCAACAAATGTTAATTTAGCCTGATACTGAATTATGTCGAATACTCTATGGTGTTATTCTAAGATTTTTGCATTATATTACATACATAGGAAATATGCAAATATACTCAAATCTGTACTAAATATATGGCTTGGAATAAAAGGTTTAATGCCATTATGTTTTTTGGGGAGCATAAGGAATGAGTAACAATGCCATTTTTCTTTCACTCTAGAATAAGTTTTACTTCTGTTGAAAGGGTTTTATGTACATACGTTACATTACTCTCCATTTTCACAGATGGAGATATAAATTTTCCAGCAGCCCTTAGGATGGTACTTAAAGCCCTGGAGTTGAATGCTACCTGATTTCAGATAGTATTTTCTGAGTAGAGTTTCCATCTGGTTTGTAGATGGCAGAAGGCTTGTTCAGTGCTAAAAATGGTTACAATTATTCCCAGTTTACAGTATTCCCTGTGCCAGCTTTTTGTGCAATTTATCCAGGCTCAATATAACACGAGTAAGTGAAAACATGAGTAAGTGTATGAAAAAGGGATGGTTGGGTAAGAACAGACAGTCTAAGTTTGGGAAAAAAAAAAAAAAAAAGAAAAACCTCTTAAATTAGTGCTTAACATAGTATTGATATGTTTTGATATTTTTTCATCTCTATGCTTTAATCAGTAGGTGAACTTAAAAAAAAAAGAGATCCCAAGGTTAATAAAGAAAACATTGGTGAAAGTTATAGAAACACATGAAAGCTATCAGGAAACAAACATGCAGGAATGATTACAGGGAATGTTTGTTAATAGCTTTGATGTTAGAATATTTGAAAAGAAGAAAGCTATCAGTGTTCAAATTCTCATGTTTCCCCTGATTATGCTTTTTTAGAGGCCAAAAGCAGCTATAAAACAAGCTTTAATCTGCTCTGTGAAGTTTAATTTGAAGTAGCATACATCTAAATTGCTGTAGTCCTATAAATTTGGAGTAGGATTCTTCATCTTCTGCAGCGATGTGCAGAATAAACCCAGAACTATCTTCAAGGAATCCCTGTAGCTTTTAGGAGTTTCCTATGTATACCTGGGTGAGGCAGATGTGACAGAATAAGCAAACAGATCAAATAAAACTTATCTGTCAAGCGAGGCCCTTTTGGCACAGATCACTTCACTTGTGGGAAAAAAAAAAAAGAAAAATGTAGAAAAAATATGATTTTAAGGTGATGGCAGCATACTTTAAAGTGCTTGAGTTTGGTAAATATAAGCAGATTTCACATCTGAACCATCTGGTTTTTCCATCAAGAGGAGTGGAGTTGCACTGGAAAACAGTGTTTAGATGCAGTACTAAAGGATGTGGTTTAGCGGGGAAATATTGGTGCTAAGTAGATGTTTGGAATAAATGATCTTGGAAGTCTTTTCCAACCATGATTTTCATTTAGGTCATCATTTTGGTCATTTCGGCTGATGCTTAAGACTGCAGAAGATTTGGTGCCCTGAGTCAAGGAATAGTCAGAGAGATTCATTTCTACTCAGACCAGGTATTTAATGGTTTGGATATCTGCACGTGCTTTTGGACTCTCCATCAAACAGAAGTTGGCAATTGGAGTAAAAAATAGGATACATTTTTTTAATATGTTAAGAGAAATAGATTCAACAATGAATCTTTGCTGCTTAAAAATTGTTTTGAAAATCTATGCAATGGTTGCTAAATGTGGTTGCTCTTTTATCTTAGTTAAAATAGATACCTGGAAACATTTACATTTTTAAATAAATTTATCCTTTTTTAGAATGATCACATAGTTTACACTGAAATGTTTTGTAGGGAATAAATATTTCTCTAGCTTCTTCAGACTGCTAGATAATCCAGTAACCTGCTCTTTAAATTCCTCTGAAGTATCCTTGCACTAAAATTGTTTGTTTTATTTTTACTAACCAAATGCATGCTAAATCACATTAAAGTATTAAGAGATTTTTTTAATGTTGTGCTCCAGGTACAGGAGTTTTGCATTCTGATTCTGACCAGAAAAATTTTCCAAAAATGGGAATCACCGTGAATTCCGAATTCAGCCAACTCATTCAGTGAATGCATAAAATAGCTATCAGTAAATATGTGCTTTCTTGGCCAGAGAGAAACAGCAAATAAAAATCTCAATTTTGCCAATGGATCTCTTATTTTCTGTTTTTCTTTGACATTAGTGATTAAAAAAAAAAAAAAAAAAAAAAGAAGGCATAGTTTGACTTTCTCCTACTGAATCTAAGACAACTGTCTGAATTTTATTGTCAAATTTAAATGGACAGGTAGTGAACCAGCAAGGTAAGTGATGTCCTTACCCTCCTGCCTGCAATCAAAAGACAAAGCAAATATCTCTTGGCAATCTAAAATTATGCTGGTTCTATGCCTGTATTAGTTCATCCTTCTTCAGGTATATATTTGTGTCTCTATTAAAAAATAAAATAAAATTTAGAAATACTATAATGGACTAGTCCAAAGAAAAAGGATAAAATTATCAAGTGCATCTTTAGAAAACATTAAAATAGATGTTTATATTAATCAGTTGTACAACATTGAAGGAAATTAATTAGTTCTGGCCCGTCAGGTATTGACTGAGGAGCTGTAAAGCTTGTTTTGTGATAAGTTGGCAAAAACTAAAAAAAAAAAAAAAAAAAAAAGGCAGAAATCCTTTGATAGATGTTCAAGTGCAGCAGATTATTCTGTACAGTGTGGAGGATTAAAGAGCTGCAGTGAGCCTTTAAACCCTCAATAAAAGTTGAAAGAATAAATTGAACTCTTTAATTTTATTGCATTTGAGATTTTAAATTATTTTCCACATGATGTTAATCTCTTGTACAGTAAATAAGATAAAATACTTTTATTCCCCTTTATTTTTCTTTGTTTTTTTTCTTTTCTGTTTCTAAAATCACGTTCCCAAGCTAAGGTTTGTAAGCTGCACTGAAGAATTTCTTGTGTTCTTTATCAAGATGGTCTAATAAGAAGAGCAGCTGTTAGTGATACCTGCCTTTGACGGTAGTGACAAATTGAAAAACCTTGTAACTAGATTTCTAATAAGTACAGGTTTTCTCATGCCAATCTATCAGGGAAAGGTTTGTGCTTACCCTGAAGATTCTCCACATTTCCATATCTCAGGTTCTGAGGGAGCAGTGTGGGTAAGCATTTCCAGGATTGAGCTCTCATTCTACATGGCGGTCCTTTGCGTGTGCATATTGACAAGTGTCCTCAATGGTGAAAAGTGTCCTTTGGTGAAAAGATGACTGTAGCAGCACTCCCTGAGCACACAGCACAAAGCTGAAACTCTGTAGACTTTGAGTTCCTTGTTCCCTAGGGTGCAGAAAGGGCTGTAAAGTCACAGCCGGAATAGATTTTTATTTTTTAAGAACAGGAAGGAAGTTTTGGTGCTGCACTTTGAAATAAAAGTTGACTCAGTTATCAGACATTCTCTGTATGCAACTGTATATAAATGATTATTTTCTTTCCATGACATAGATACAAAAGGTTTCAGATATTTTTTAAGATTTCAAATTCAAATTTGGAAAGTGTTTTGTTGAGTCATAAAGCCCAGCTGTCTCCACTAGCTTAATGTTTGGAATAGTCTATGAGAGCAGCTCTTCAGTTTACAAAATGTCAGATAATAGTAAAAATAAGAGCATACTTTGTACAGTTGATGGATATCTGAAGCATATCTCTAAGGAGCTTGAGTCTTTCTTATCCAGTTATTTTAGAAACATACTGAGGAGGCCACTGATATGATGTTGAATTTATGATAAAAAGAAAATTGTCTGATATAATCCATTAGAAAAAAGGAAGAAAAATCAATGGCTTTTGAAAAAGAAAAGGAATGTCATCTTTTTTTTTTTTCCCTTATCAGTCAATGTTATTTTTCTTATGGCTATAACTTGGCTGTTTTATTTTGTTCTTTATTTTTTTTGTCACCTTCATATAGAGTCCAAGCTGCTAGCAGTTCCATCCATTGAGCACTAGAAAATTTCTTCAAAAAATACACTCATTATACAATTCATGATCACAAAGGTAATAGCTGCCAAAAGAGACCTCTTTTTAACTGACGTGGTCTAGTTGGAGAAACGCCACTGCTTACTTCCTCCTACTATTTGTGGTTTAGATGTAAATGGGCTCCAAAGGCTGTCATTTAATTGAGCAGTTTTGTCTACTTGTCTACTTCTCCAGTCTCTGAACATCTCTCCGCAGGAAAGCTAGATACAGGGAGCACAAACTACCTGACAAAAAGCTTTGTCTTCAAGTTCCAGTGATAGAACCAGCTGCTTTTCTATGCTGTCTCTTGTAGTTCTTTTTTTCTTTGCTATGTGTGCAATGATAAATATGTATTTTATGTACTGTGATAACTGCTCTTTTCCCAAACAGAGAATTAGATTTCACATCTAGGCATCCTTGCTTCCCCTTGAATTAGTCAGCATCATTCCAAAGTACAAGGTAGACTTGGTGAAACATGTGATGCTATAAGTTTTCTCTTTTTATTTTCTAATTGGTGGGGGGTTTTTTGTGGTTTTTTTTTTTTCTGAGCTTTATAGGTGTAATCCTCTTTACTGCTTCGTCAGTTCTGTGTTGATAAAGCTTATTGCTTTGATCATGAAAATCAGGGGTAGTTCCAGTGGGAAACAATTTTTTTTTAATTTACTTTTTTTTCATCAGATCATTTGGTCTCTTCTTCCATGAAAAGCTGTTACTTCAGTACTGTACATTTGACAATCTGTTTAATTGTTTGATTGAACTTGCTGAAGCAAAAAAATGGGTACAGCAGGAGACAGACTTCCATTTGTGCCCAGAAAAACATATGAATTTACAGAGAGTTCAGAAGCTTTCAATATTACTTGTTGCCAGTTTTCATATTAGAGGAAAACTATGTGTAAGGCTTGCTTTGGGGGCCTTTTGTGTTTGTTTGTTTGTTTGTTTTTCACTTACAGGTTTAAACATAGGCTGTATCTCCCATTTTGTAACCATTCTGCAGCAGTGCTCATGTGTAAAGCCCTTTGTGGGTTTGTCCTGGTTTGACTAGATTGCTCCTGGAAGCTATCAAAGAGCTGTAAAATCCCCAGCACCAGCTTTACCTTTCTCATGAGCACTGGCCAACATAACAGTTGCTTCACTTCACAGCAGCTGCAACTTTTCCTTTTCAGCTTCCCAAACCCCTCAGCTGTAGGAATGGCAAATCATGACTGCTTTGACCTGTAAATCCTTTCTAATTTCTTGCTGTCCTTGTGCCCAAGAGAGGATGCAACACTGGTACAGCCTCTGATTATACACAGAGCCCCAGAGATTGGCTGACTCCAGAGCACAAAGGCTGAAGCCAAAAAAACATTGATTTTTAGCACAAGGATCTGAAATCTAATCAAATTTCAGTAATATCAGACTGTGACCTTTTCTCTTATTAGTGAATTTATGCATAGCTTAGTCTCTGATTCCCATATCGCTTTGTATGTGCTGGTGCTGCCTTCAGCATAATTATTGGAAGACTTTGAGTGTTAATTGAGCATGATTGAATTTTGATATGAATTGTGTGCGCAGTATGTGAGAAGAAAAACGTGCTTGTATTTTTCCCAAGGTAGGGAGGAGCTAGGTAAGCAAACTTCCTAATGGGACAAGAATCCTAGTTTTTCATGATCCAGCTTTTTAATGTTGTTCAATGAACAGGAGCCTGATGACATAATGCCATGTGATACAGTACATGTTTCACTTAAAATCTGTAAAATGCATCACCGTAAGCCTCCTTGCAGTATTGGAGTGGAAGCTCAGACAATGCTATTGTTGGTAAACCCTCATTTTTCAAGTGTTTAACTTAGCTGTAAAAAAAAAACTGGGGAAAAAAACTTGACCAGCATTGTCAAGAATAGACGTTAACAATTACTTGTTAAAAATTTGCTACAAATATTTATCAAAGAACAAAGTCCTTTCATTTCTTTCAGAAATCATAAGAAGGGCATAGCCTGTAATATTGTGGTGAATATTTTGATGCACAGTCTACACTATAATTTCAAAGCTGATGTTTATTTACTAATTCTTTGAATTACTTTCATAATGAGTGGTGAAGATTTTTTTAGTTTCATCGTTAAGTGTCTACTTTGTGTTAGTGTTCTATTTTTATATTAAAGCATACAATGGAAACATTTTTATATTAAATATATTAAATATTTTAATATTATTTTTATATTAAAGCATACAGAAGCATTAAAAAATTAGATTTTTTGAAGTCTTAAAAGCTTACACAATTCACTAGCCTTTTAATTTAGCAGTTTATTTACTTTGACTTAAAGTCAAACCTTCCTAAGCACATACCAACAGGTTAAAATTAAAACAGCACATTACTATTTCAGTAAAGAGGTCAGTATAAATATATGCAGGGCTATGCACTGTACCAGAAGACACACAGGTCACATCATTGCTTTTGGGAGAGCTTGAAGACACCTGAAGAACTGTGGGGCATATAGAGCTTGTACGTTATGTGCTTAGATGTTTTCCATGCTTCTCCTCTCTGCATACAAACCTCAA